TGCGAGGGACCGGCCGGGCCGCCACCTGACGCTAATTAGGACCCGAGCGTCGGGGGCGGCTGCAGTTTGTTTTCGCCCGGCCCTAAATAGGTCAGGGCGGCTAAAACATTTACCAAGACAAACAGCGGACCAATAACGAGATCCGCCGAAAACATCAGGATCCGTGTACGAATTACGGCATGCAGATGCTGCGAGACGACGATTTCATTACGCGCTAAGCCTCGACGACGCGATCTTGCCACGCGATAATCCCGGAGCGGCGGCTCCGGGGAGCCCGGAACGCCGAATCCGATCCGGAAATTAGGTAAAGAAACCTGCTTTTCACGGCCAGGTCGGGAAAAAAGCGCGCCGAGAGTGCAAGCACGGAGCTTTGAAAAGGGCGGATATTAAAGGACCTGGACGGCGTAGATGCGCCTAATCGCGGCTGTATGGCGAAATTATCCGAAAAAATTGCACGTGGTGAGGCGAGATTGGCGCGGTCGGTGGGATACCGCAAGGCGGTGAGATTATTTTCGACGGTAACGATCGACTGACACCCTCCGCTTGCATATTTCTAAATAAAATTTCTCCGACTTGCGTTCCCTGCGGACATTTTTTTACTTCGAAAGCGGCAAACAATAGTGCTTTCACAAAAACCATCCGAGATATAGCGGCTCCGTAAGTATGGAAGAATAGGTCGGAAAGGCGTTTCTACAAGAAAGAAATCCACAAGCAAATCGATTCCCGGTTCCATTATGACCGGTAAGAAATGCAATTTCGTTATATTACAAAAACACGCCATTCAACTTCTGAATTATAGTGATATCCCTTAACCAATTCCCGATGCTCTGTGCGGAAAACCAATGTGTAATAATAAGGTCATTCGGAACCTTCATAAAAATTCTTGCGGGTTTTCGACGTGTGAGTTACGCTCAACCCTCTGTATTTATTGGGGCGTAAAATTTCATTACACACTTCACATAAACACTCGATTTTATAGAAAGCAATAAAATATGAGATCATAAATTAAATTTTAGAACTGGAATCGGCGATTTCGCACCTGCAGAAAAGTCTCCGCTCTCGACTCGGATCGGGGATTAACATAATGATGTTTGCGGAAAGAGGTCGGGCTTTTATTCTTCTCAAACCGGATTTAGCTTGCATACGCTACATACGGTTAGGCGCAGTCGGTGGGATGATTCGATTCAATCATAGCCGCCGATAAAAACTTAACGTCAATTATGCGAAGAATTTCGATTGCGGCACCCAGCATCGCCGCATCCTTCGTCGGCGTGTTTTTATTGCGTCGGATTCTAAAATCCAAGATGGGAATTGTTGCTGACAAGCATTTTCATTAGTAAATACCGCCGCCTACCTAGCAGTAATCCTCGTGTGTGCCAACTGCCGGCTCCCTTTCCGCTCGAGTCGGACATGTTCCCTGGCGCGTGTGAACGTCTTCTTCCCAGAGATAACTTTTTTTAACATAAATTTTAAAAGTGCGCTGAAAAGACGTGCTCAACTGAGAAAGCAAAAGTTCACCTTATTATCTATCCTGCTTCCGTTCTTTTGCTTCACTCCATCCTCACGTATCCTCAGATGCCTCTATTCAATATTTTCCTTTGTATTTTCAGGCCAGGCACGTATTCTTTAAAAGTACATCCGCGATTGTTGATTTAACACTTTTGCTTCAACCGGGAGCTTTTTTAACTTGCTTTCCTCTTGAGTAAATATTTTTTAAATCCCAAGGTGTATTGTTTTAAAATTCGCATAACGTGCCGGCTCGTGCTACACGGTGGCCGCAAAAACCGAAGCATGCAATATTCAGCTGCTTCTAGGCGAAACAAAAACGCGTAGGTAATCCAAGCTTAGGAATCGACGCAAACTTTGCTAGATTATGCAATAAAAAAAATGTGTAAACGTGAATTGTATGGTTTAATTATGTAATTCCGCGTTCACGATTTGGTGCAGTCGGTGCGATGAGCGTCGAAAGTGCAAATTTCCGTGTAAATTCCATCGGTAAGACAAAAGTTCGGCCCCCAGCTGCGACTAATCAGATCGGTCGATTTGCAATTCTAAAGAAACTGCAACTTGGAGCATTTTAATAAATGTCGCTCGGCTTATTTGCGGCGTCCCCTTTTTCTTTATTGAAAGTCGCTGCCTCCCATACATCCCTAAATAGACGCCTTTGCATTTCATTCGGGCCGACAGCCCCTCTTGTAATTATCATATTCCAGCGCCGAATTCCCAGCCACCTGATCCACGTATGCATATCGAACCCTTAACGTATCGGAGGGTCGGAATCGGCGGATCGACTTACATACCCGCCGAAATGTAAATATCCGAACGCGACACCGACGCGAGTCCCCGAGGGAGCTTTACGCGACAATTTCCGTAATTTTCATTAACATAAAGCCCTCCGCACGATGCGCCCCGTAATGGTATCGCCGCCGGCGACGATTTTAATTTTTAATACTCGAATTTCGACGTAAATGAGAGATTCAGGGTATTTTACGGTTCGAGAGTAATAAAATTATAATTGAACAGCTAAACAATCAAAGCTGACCCTCATAAAATTTAAATTGAAAGCTCCACACCCCAGCGTAACGGCTTGCAGGGCCCGCGATAACATCGAATTCCATTATTAGAGGCAGTTTACGTACGGCCCCGTTCGATAAATGCGAAATAAATCAGCGGATTCGGTCTCCACGAGAAGCATCGGCGGTAGCTCGCGAAAAATGAGCATAATTAAGATGAACGCGACATCAAAACACAACCTTGGTCGTTATGGAGATAAAGCTCCGGCCAATTAAACGTTCGAAGACTGGCTCGTAATCCTCAAAGGTCGCAACACAAACGCGCTTTTTCGGGGTACGCGGGCTCCAAGGCCGCCGGTATTAGCGGTTGCCTAAGCTACGGATGAGTTTGCTCGACTAACTTCTCTCGAATAAAATTAATATCGATCTCTGGGGATGGATCGCTCGCGCGGACGCTCGCGACTGTCACATACCGGCGACGGGGCAGATCCACGAAATTTTTTTGCCGGGGTCGAGGGCGCGCTCTGATGCCCGCTCAAAGTAGTTAACGAGGGCTAAGATTTAACCGTCTAGACTAGATAAGCGTCACAATGACAAATGGTGGTCTAAGTAGTGGCAATTTGTCCAGCTGACGATCTTCGTACTGACGGCTCCCGTAAAACCTTCCAACTCCCAACTGCAATAATTTACATTGTTTCTTACTTGTTTGCTTGTTTTATGAGAGTTCGAGAACTACTGTCGTTACGATAAAACGCCGACGGCTTCCGCGAGACCCGAAAGGGTGCTCGAGGACGCGAATTGCTAATGCACCTGTTAATTTACGGCGCCAGACTCGCGCAAAAACCCTCGATAATAAATTAAAAATTCAATCCTCGAGAAGGACCGTGCAGTTGGTTGCCTACACTAAAATTGTCGTGGATAGTTGGTTGCATACCACGCGTTTCGCCGACTCAGCGCGAGCCTACCCCGCCTCCCCGATCCATTTCGTCGCGGCTTTGGCTCCCTGCTCCAAGTGTCGCCCTACACGTTATAAAATTAGAGCAGGGGGAAACCGCCCTGATTATAATACGAGGTGAATGATAAGCCTGCCAATTTCCGAAGTCGAGGCAACTTTTCGCCAGCGTTCTCCTGAAAGGTTGCCTCACGTAATCAACTAACGAGAGGCGGGGCTCGGTGGCGGGAAACCCAATTAATAGCGTGCTCGTTAGCGGTACAGGTCTTCGGCAACTGACGAATTTACCACCGCCGGCGAAATTTATTAGTGGCAACTAACGCCGAGTCAAAAGTGGACGTCGAGCCGCTTTAATCTTGGTTTTGACGTGAGATAAGCTCGTTTTGCGTTGGAACAATGAAACGTTTCATGTTGTAGTGGATGGGTTTTTTCAAAGGCTGCGGGCGAGTCGGGACAAGAGCGACAGTCAACAGCGGATGGCTTTTTCGTCGGGGTTTCGGGAGCAAAAAGAGATTGTTGTGTCTGTAAGTGCATATTTAGGTGCGCTTGAAGTTGTGTTTGCTGTATAAACCCGTGGGCGGGGCCGCCAATTATCGTAAGTAGATGGTTCGGTTTTTGGAGATCATCATTTTAACGTTTAATAATAATCGAGCGAGAAAGAGAGGCTGGAAGATGCGTTGCAAAAAGCGCATTAGCCATCATCCCGGATTTGCTCAGATGCAAGACTCCGGCAACTCCGAAAGCTCGGCTGCATCGACTACACCCGCAGACTCTAATATTGACTTTAAATTATGTAGGCAAATATCGGCGAGGAAAAACTTCAAAACACCCTCAAAGCTGCACCCTCTCGCTAAACCTCGACATCGCATCTCCAGAAATGAAATTTCTAATTAAGACCTCCGGCTTTGTTTACCTCCCGCTTCCAAAAACAAAACTGCGCCACTCGTTCAAGGCTCCGCGAAGAATTGTTTACGACTGCAGCCCAAGGATAGTCGCGTCATCACGTCTTTTAATAAAAAATAAAAAATACACCGGTGACAGGTCAAACAAGCGCGAAGTGATTCTAACGGTCGTCTCTGTTCGCTCCTTCGATATTTTTCGCAGTAATTCACGGCTGGTATTCGAGTTGCGTACGTGCCAAGTGTGTTTATGTCTCTGGCATTGTCACGGCGTTCTTGAAAAAATATCGAATATACAAGCTCTTAAAGTTGGGCGAAGTTGCCGCCGGCACGATCGCGGGGGCGGAGTGGCCGCAAAGGCGAGGATTCGCTTCTTGCGATAGGTTATGAAACGGGCTTGATGGAGCCACACAAGAAACAAAAATCAAGATGGTCTGAAATCAAGTTAGTTTTTTCTTCAACGCTGCGTGCGTTATTTTAGTATCATCATCATTTACTCTTATCATGTAAGTTTGTGAAGCACACGTGATTACTCCATCTGTTCGGTAAACGTACTATAGTATTATTTTAGGCAAAAAGATCGAACGTGCGAGCGGTTTGATATTTTTTCTGTGGTGGAATGCTACGTCAAAAATGATCAAAGTTTGCTTTGCAATGATGTCAAATTGATGTGTTGGTTGAAACTAATTTTGGGTAAAATATGGACTTTGCTGTGCATTGGTGAGTCGAAGATTAGTGAAAGTTGCTTTAAATTTTAACGTCAAAATTACATTTCCACTGTAATATTTTAATAAATATAGCAACACTCGTGACCACAAGAAAAATGACACTTTTATGTTGACAGGTTCGGCTAATTTTGAAGCAAAACATTCTAGTTCACTCGATGATGGTTTGTATGAATCCAGTGAAAAATGTAAGAGATATTTTAACCATTTTTAGATCACGAAAGCGATGAAGAAGGGGAGTATGTACCTCCGGAAATAATATTTCCGATAGCCCCCTTTATGCCCGACAATGAACCCAAAAGTGAATAATGAAACGGTGCCATTTTTAATAATAAATTTTAACAACATTTTCACAACTTTAAATGCAACTCAGAGTTCAATTAAAGTTCCAAGAAGCTTATTGGAGATAACTTCCAGGGGCAAATGGGACCATCTGGAAATATGAAATTTACTTACTTCTAAATGACGTAAAATTTCTTCTTCTAAATTTTTCCCGCATTGGTTCAGCAGGTCCCATTCGCCCCTGACCATGGGACTCCGAAATTCTTTCAAGTTATTTCAAAAACAAAAAAAGGGGTTCGCATTCAAATTACTTCAAAAACAAGATAATGGACCCTCGAGATAATTTCAAACTACTTCAAAAATAAAACACAAGGGGTCCCCGAGATTTTTCCAAACTATTTAAAAAAACAAGGGGTTCGCGAGATTCTTTCAAATTACTTCAAAAATAAGACAAGGGATCTCCGAAATTCCAAAACTACTTCAAAGACAAGACAAAAGCGGTTCTCGAGATTCTCTCTTCATTCTTCAAAGTTGTTGTTCGCGGACATTCAAAACATGTTGCTCGCTTAGACTGAGTGAAACATTATAAACGCTCATTTTGGAAAACCCTCTGGAAGATTGCTCTGGACTACTTGTGGTGTCCCGAGGAGCTCAGAATAATCGCCGGGGAATAATCATACAGCTGTGCTACCAGTTCTTAGAGTAAATCTCGTAACTGCAGTGTTTGTTTGTTTACGGCGGCTGTAGACGTTGGGGCTTAGTGGCAGTTGACACTCTCGACGAGTGCGAGTGCAGCGGGCTGTCCGCCGGTCCACTCCCGGCAATATATTTGTCAGAGCGAAAGCCCTCCGCCAAAGAACAAAGGCGCTGACAGCGGGTATCCTGTACGACGTGTATTATTTCGTAACATGTCCTCTTTAAGCCATTGTCGTAGCACAGACACAATAGTGCAATCCTTCAGCTTCCCGGCTCGGGCTCAGTCTAAAGGCGTCAATGGCGTTCGTGCATCGGACACGTTAAGGTGACGAGCTAACAATAGGGGCCGGGTAAATCTTGTCCAATTTGAGAAAATCGAGGGAATACACGAAGACGCCGCTCGGGGGTGTCGTTATCCGCATTGCGTAGCGCCTCCAGCCTACTAACAGCGGTTTCATTAGGTGACACTTGATGTCCGTTTCGGGTTAATTGCTTTAAGGTCGGCTGCAGCTCGAGAAGCCCAATTTAACGGAATGTTTGCTAATATTGTTCGATACAAGTTCGCCCATTAGCCCGACTCGTACTTCACGGAGCTAAACTCGGGATTATTATTCTTTTTATGCCGTGGGCTTTTCTCTCGGCTATAACGGCGCAACTTTCCCCACTTCAATTAAACTTGCCGCCGTACACTGGGCTATTTTTGCGGCGGGGGCTTAATTCGTTCGCGAACTGACGGGAACTATCGAAAGTTTGCGCGATGGGGAAAACCGGCACAGCGAAAGAATTACAAAAAATATATATACACTCACGCCATTACACAGACAATCCACGATAATACGTTCCCAAAGGATTTGAGCTTCTTTTGATGGTTGCGTTTAATGTACGATAACGTAGGCAACCAGTTATACATCCGGATTTAAAACTGGCGCGGCACCGCAGCGACCAATGCCAGCGTCGCGTTCGAATGACGTCGAGGACACTTTGCGCCTACTGGCGTTCCAGCCCAGAACTCGCTCATAAATCAAGCGTTTCTTTTATTGTCTTAGGTACACGCGCCTCGGATCGCGTAAATAAATATAACGGCTGGATCCAGATGGCGGCAACTTGGGCACGCCGCCCCTCTTAACCGACATCTTGTTTACATCATCCCTGAAAATCTCGCCCGAGCAGATAACACGGAGTTATGCGATGGAATTTCGCCCCGCGAGAGTGCCTCAAATCCTTATCTCTTTGATAAAGTTTTCTGCAACTCGCAAAAATAAAGAACCACACATAAAGCGAAGTCCTCCGAGATGGCAGCGGCAAACAATATAATGATCTATTGTACACTTTCAAGCACTATACAAAGTTTTGTGCTGAAAATTGCGTTCCCGACTCGAATTTTATTCGCAAAACATCGAGCTAGTGGAGAGGTCTGCCAAGTCGTCTCTGCGGCGGATTTATGTCTTCATCGGGCGAGGTGCGATCGGGGCAAAAAATTTAATTAAAATAGGGAGGATCGGGGGTATCGATGGCAACACAATACAGCTTAAAAAGTTTGAGTGGAAGGGTAGCAATTCGGAAGCTCTCAGCCGTACTCTAATCTTTGTTTATCTTTCGCACCGGAAATGGCGGTGATTTTCGTGTTGTCGATTTTAGGCAGGTTGAGAGGGAGTCGTAAACAGGGCGAGGGCTGGCGAGTGCTTGTTTCCAGAAAGTAGGGCGAGCCGAAATGAATGAATCTTCTGGAAGAACTGAACTGGGAGCGTTTAAAATTACTTCCTATAGGGTTTCAAACGGCGAACGGTCTGTGTCGAAAAAGTGTCGACCGAGCGTTTCCACTTTGTTTTTCTCGTTCCGAAAAAACAAACGCCGTCTAATTATGAAAAATTTTCAAACAACATGTAGCTCAAGTTGTTTTTATCTCTCGGCTTATGTGCTGAGAACAATAAGCTCCGAGCCTTATTTTCCACGTGTACGCCTAAGTCGCCTCCCCGCCGAACTTCTTCAAAATTTAATGCATCATCCCGGTCTTTGTGTTGTATATTTCATGCTCATATTTCCCCCAATAAATCCGTATTGAGAAGTTTGAGCAGCCCTTAAGCGGCATTACGCCGTCCTCAGTCAGACAAACATTCACCTGGAGCCCCTCATTAGAGGCAACTTTTGAACCGCCTAAGCCCCTCTAATGAAGCCCCCCGTTAATTTCCCGAATGGTGGATGCGCCGGGTCGAGGCTCCAAGACAAATGTCGCAGTAAATTGTTCCCTCCCCGAAGTCGACATCTGCTTTCTATAGTCGTAAAGTACAGTGGCGTGCGTGGAGGGTGCATTACGACAGCCTGCCGCCTTGATAAAGCCACAGGCCGTAAAACGCCAAATACCTCCCTCTATTGATGGCGCGCCAGAGCAATACCGAGTCGGGCCGTTTGTTTTCCGCATGGCGATCCCCGTTATTGAGTTTTTGTCGATTTGTCTTCTCATATTGGACTAATTTAATATTTCGGGGGCGGCGGGGGCCGCTGCCGCCTTTGTCTCCGAAAATTAGATTTCCGGATTTCATTTTTCAGGAAGCTGCTTCCTCTCGGCCCAATTTGCATTCTTAACTTCCCGCTCTTGTTTTAGGTGATTCCATTGAATTCTGATCAAAAACTTTAATAAAATGTTTCTCATTACAAGTTTAAATTGGAAACAAACTCGCGCCGAGAGACCTCCGGGGCACAATTAAATTTGTGCCAGATTCAAAAATGGGGGCGGAGGCGGTGCATAAGACGCTCTAACTCAATTCGGCGACAAAGGACCGCGCTCCCACCCCCGGGCGCAACATCACTCTCTAATCCACAAAAGTCCCAGAAGATGCAACGCTTACCGCAAAACTCGAGGGACAAACAAGACATTTTTTCACCAAATTTTCGAGGATTTCAAGAATTACCAAAAAAAATATTATGAAATTGGCGCAGCAGGTTGAAAACCTCCATCCGGGGAATCCCCGGAGGTGTTTAAATTCGAGTCGACCCGCACGATACGGGGGTCGATCACAGCCCGTTAACATGGGGCGACGGCGAAATGGACAGTTAAGTACAACGATGAACAACTTCAATGAAACTTAACTCACTACTTAACCTCGATTATTGTCGGTGTTATTAAGTTGGTAACGAGCCAATGTGCAGTTATCGGGGCCCAGATCGGCAAGGGCGAGTCGGTGCCCGCATTAGGGACATCGAAAGTAGGTCTTAAACTCACACAGCGGGTTCGTAGTGCCATTACAACTAGTCGTTCGAGTTCCAAAGGCTGTCGTAATTAAAATTCACGGCGGATGTAGCCGACACGTAATGAAAAAGACTTTTGACAAATTTTATAGCCAAAAGATCTTACATTCTTGTAGTTAGCTTATGGAGAAGACAGTGTACAATTCAGGACGTATTGCACGCTTAGGCTGGTGTGGTATAAGTGTTGATTAAGCGTCCGTGGGTTTGTGGTGTTGAAAAGAGTCCAGAAAGGTGGTTGCAGGTTCTGGATGGCTTCTGCTGGTTTGTTCGCTAGCAAATATCTGTTTTTGTCGGCGGTTATTTCCCTTGTTGGAAATGCCGCTGCAATAAAATATTAGCGTTTGTGGATTGAAGCCCAGATTAAATATCGATGAGGATATGCATCAGCGGACGGGCCCAGATAATAGCAAATCCGGTTCCACTATCCCAACTAGTATATTGCGGTCGCTGTTGATTCCATTAGTGGAAAAAATGTGTCGCTTTTGCATTCATTACCGGCGGGCGGTTATTTCTGATTGCGGCGTGATTTTTTGCCGGCCGTTCCACCTCCTAATTCCCAATTTGTCCAAGTTCGGGCGTCCATTTTAAATACAATTATCCGTTATCCTGGTTGCGCGAAGCCGTTTATCCTTCGTCATCCCGCAAATCTCGGCGAATCGAACTTTGTCCGCATCGGCCGTTGTTTTCCGGCACTAAAACACAATTCGGCCCTAATAAGCGTCATAATTTGGGGACGCAAATGTGCCGAATAGAGCAATGGGATTTTCGCCGGCGGACATAAATAAAGCACGGATTACGTCGGCTAGGAATAAACAATTCGAATAAATAAATCAAGCAAACAAACAAGCGTTTGCGTTAATAAATAATTGCGGAAAAACGTAATAAATTACGCAGAATGTCCGAAATGAATTCCGCATAGACGAGACAGATCAGATCGTAATTCAAACTGTTTAAATTGAAAATTGAAAGGCCAGCAATAGCCGCTAAAATATCAACAATAACATGGAATTAATTAGCGCCGGAAAACACGGCTAATTATACCGGACCGGCTCGTTCCGGGCGTCCATCAAACGCACTATATCCCATCGAACGAACCGCCGCCCCCGCAAAACCCGAAATCGCACAAACTGAACCTCCTCCGCACAAAGCAAATCTTTTGTTCACTTCGCCATTGTAAAAAGATAAACTTTCGCGGGTTTATTTTTCAGCGCGCCCCGATTAAATAAATTTAATTAAAACGGTTCTTCGCGGCGGAATGCGTTTTTTTCCAATTTATACCGAACAAATACGAGAGCAAATTCATCAAATATGCGCTTTGTAATCTTGGCAAATAACTTGCACAGTTCCATTATTACGACTGACGGGACGCACAAAAAATATACAATGTTAATCGAATTCTCTATAAAATCCAGCGAGGAATTTATTAATATCGGAGATGAAATCGAGCTCGGCGGGGGACCGGCGTGCGCTCTAGCCGAGCAAGATAGGCAACCAACAATAATTAACGAGGTAACGTATATCGCGCCCACACGACAGCTGCTGCCGGCGCAATCACAGGAATACCGGCTGCGTTTGTGCTCGCACGATAATTTCGCAAAATTGCGAAAACGGACGCTTTTCGTTTAATTTGGCCGGCGGCGGCGTTGTTTAGTCTAAGTACTCGCCTGGAATAAAATCGTGAGGGAAAACGTGCCGTATTTTAAGAGAACAGGAGCGCTGTTCCCGGCCGTTCGGCCTGAACGGTTTGCTTCGCACTTAAAATAAAAACTCCGGCACTCATATGGATGCGAAAATTCCACCGTCACAGCACGTTAATATTTGCGCATTTAGGCTAGTTTCGGGTCTCCGAATTTCGAGGTAAACGTTTTAGTTTTGTGTGTCGTTATAAGCGAGTTCTACTGTAATTCACGGTGGCCGTATCGACGTCTTTCGTGACAGTAATGTGTTGCGCGTCCGCCCTTTCTTGTGACAACATAAATCATTAATTAAATCCGCCCCAGATCCATTCCCATCAATGGCATTTCCTTTCTTATCAATAATTCAGAGGTAAAAGTGATTCGGAGCCCTCCGACGGGAGCCAAATCCGCATGCAGATGTGTATTGTGGGCAAATTCTGATTTAGGTGTGTGCACATCCACCATGACCTCCGCTGTAACGTAAACAACGCTCTGTTATTTGCAGTGTAACGCAAACAGACGAAGAGGAGCAGTGATTTAATGCAACACGACCTGGAGTTGTTTAATTTGGACGAGTGCATTAAAACGGGCGAATATGCCTCGAGGGGGATAGACCGAAGACGTTCTCGTGGTAAAAACTCGGTGTGAATTTAATTGGAGCGCGTGCGTTCTTATTGCAGTCGGGTGCATCGAAACGGGGAAATGTGCTCCGAGTCGCTTTGCCTCGGTGGAGTAGACCGGTTGCGTAAAGAAGCGGTTCATTCGGCAAAGTTAAATGAAGTTCTCGTTCTCGAGTTTCGCAAGCTTCAGTTTTACACAGTTGTTTTCGTGTTTATTTTGCTTGATTCTCTACTTACATCCTGGATAGAGGATAAACTTCTTGGATCCACACGCGACTTCTAATATTATTTAAGTTCGATGTTTGCGCCGGAGCGCTTGTTAGTTCAGACTTGAATATTATCGGCGGAATTATTCAAATCCGGGTTTTGGTTAATCACGGCCCCCAAATAAAAAACCACAACTGCCAACTACGCAAATCCACAACAGCCCGGCCGAACGAGATTTAACTTTATTTATTCAGTATAATGAATCCGGCGCCTGATCTACGCTAAAACACATAGTTGTTTCTATTAACGCAGATGGAGTGTCTGTGCAAATAGTGATAATAGGGGGGGCGATTGTGCCGTACAAGAGATTACAAAATTCCGTGTTTATCAACGCCGATCGACACAAGTGCCTCATTAACCTGGATTTAACGCAACGCGGAAAACTATCTGTCAGAGGGGCGCCCGCAGCCGAGATTCCGAATGCATTAACTATATTAAATCTGGGATTTCATCTCTGCGCGACGTGATGAATTAGAGCACTCGCGACGCCAACCGAAGAAGCCGACTTTGCCTTAATTAATCCTAGGAGGGTGCTCGCCGGAACATTTTTAATCACCGGCGGCTCGGTTAGCCGAGCCCGAACCCACCTGCTGCAGGGGATGCCTCGACGCGAGCCAATAACGAGCCGAGACAGACTGATGGATGACCGATTGACGACGTCTGGAGGCTTCGGCCGCCGGGATCAAAATAATAGGAGAAGAAAGGGGCGACGAGTGGGAATATCCGCCAAATGATGAATAATGTACGGGCCCGAAGAGGTCTGAGATCAAGGTAAGCTCAACCGGAACCCTTCAAAAAGATACGCTGCAAAAAAGCTTTTAATATCCTTTTCGCTCTTTGTTCGCTGCAATAAATTATTCCGTCTTGTTGTGTCGCGGACCTCCACGTCCTGCGACTAAACTAAGTCACGAGAATCACCACGACCGCTGCACAACCGAAACCTGGGCGATTAATGACTTCTGCATTGTTTCTCACCGAACATCAAATTTTTAGATTACGGTTGTTATATCCTGCGTCCCAGAACGTCTCCCGGCTTCCATCAAATCCCCGCCCCCTAAGCCGAGAAGATACAGTTATCCGGTAAATGGCACCGAAACCGTGCCATTTCGCACGCCGCCTCTCCCGAAAAGGCGTCCGACCGCCAAACGCGTGCCATAAATCCGCCTTTATGACGCAAAAAAATGTACAAGGCGGCATCTAATAGTTATAAAATCGCATTTTAACGCAACTCACGGCCGCTCTCTGGCTGTTTAAGTTCACGCTCGACCGCGCGGAATATTTAGTTTTCGTTGGCGAATTGTCTTTCTTTTGAGTTCGGGTGTACTAATCGATTACAATGCTGCGTGTCGCTTGATGCGTGAACCAAATCGCGAATCGTGATCGTCGAGCTAGGTGAAGCGTTACAATCGGACCGAAAACGCCAAAGAGTGAGCTACAAAGGCCTTTCTGTGCCCCCGACTCGGAGGATTGCGGTCGCGACTCGGGCGAGAGTCGGGCGGCTTTTTTCGGGGGCGGGGGCGGTCACGACGGCCGCGTCCAATTAAGGGCGCCACAAATTCGCCGAAATTAGGGGTAATTAGGAGCGGGCATAAGCTGCAGGCGGCGGCGACGAGGAAAGCTTGCGTGTTTTATGCCTGACGTCGCTGCAAAGAAGCGCAAAAATCGGAGGCACTTGGGGGCGCCTGTAATAACCTGAAGCTATCGTCACTTGGTGGTAACTCTCGTTGTACTGCACACTTTGGAAATTTTGTCGACTCAGCATACTCAAACTGGCTCTTTTAATTTAAGCGTAATCACCGACCGACCGAACAAGAGGGACATCGGAATGCGGCGACGTTTCGGAAAGGAACTTTTGCGGGGGCGTCGGGTCGCGGAATATTGTTTATAACGCGTTCGAAAGACAGCGCATTGTTTCTTTTCAGGGAAACTTTCCCTTTGTGGAAGTTCTCGCCCGAAAAGAAGTGTTGATGGCATTCGCCCCAATAATATTAATCTCGGTCGGATGTTATTTTCGATCGGCGCTTTTTTCTGTTATTGTGTAGCTCCGAACCCCTTTCACGTTAACATAATAAATTATTCCCTCCACAGTGTCCTTTTATGGATTCATAAATTTCGCCGTGCGCTCCGAAAGCTTTTTCTTCCATGATTTGTTGGTTATAATCGCTGATTTACTACATGTTTATCAACCTTTATTTTAATTCCGTCATCTCGGGCGTCGCAGACGAATTTCGCAGAACCCGTTTTAAATTGCAAAGTAGATGTGATACCTACCGGAGAAACAGGGCTTGTTTAGGTTTTGTTCGCTGTCTGCCGGATTAAACCGAAAAGTTGATGAACTTCTTATTACCCTTTAAATAAATGTTGACGTGAATATTCCCGGCGTGAAAACAGGCCTGTATAACTCGATCAAAGTCTTACGGCTTGCCGGCATCGATCCGAGCCGAATTTCGTCTCTGGTTTACTTTACTTAATCCGATAACTTTTGTAGTGTTTATTAAGTTGTCGAATTCGGGAGAGGAGAGCCAAAAATACGACCTCGATCAATTATTTGGGGCGACCCTTGTAATTCGGTTCCGCTCGAGAGTGTTTCCACGGCCGACAAAGATCGCCGAAAAAATACTTAACACGACCCCGAAATTACACGCATTTTCACCTAAATCCGCGAGGGTCCAGGAAGCCCAAATTTGCGTCCGGATAATCAAGCCGCAAAAATATGTTCTCTAAGACGACTTTGGAAAGCATTAGCTCGAATTTCGCGTCTGCGATTGGTGCTGCGGGGGACTCGCAAGCATCATTTCGCCCCACGCAAACAAGCAATTGCTGCAAACAAATGAAAACTCGTTTGTTGCCGTCATGACGAAAATGATAAATAAACAAAGCCACTCGTGTTGATCTTGACTCGTACAGACTTCTGCTCTGTGCACAAGAATCCATTTAAAGTCGAGTTCGTTAGGAAAATACGACGATCCAGAATTTTATTACATCAGCCCAAACAAAATATTCCGCTGTATTAGACCCACATACATGCATAAGAAGGAATCGTAAAGCTCGAATAAAAAATTGAAGAGCCGCACTCGAGGCCCGCTGCTTTTATGTCCCATGTTAATTTGATAAGCACTTCAATTCTGCGGAACGAAAAATGCGCAGGGGCCATTTGGCGGCAGGAGGCAAAAGTATCAACGTTACGACTAAATTTTAATCGACCTGTAGCGGTTTTCTCGCACGTTTTTACTTAGTCGCGCGATGATCGGGGCAGCTCGGATTTGCGTCCGTTTCAGCCTGAGCGGTATCTCGCTAGTTGTGACGTACCTGAATTCGCCGTACCGGTCCCCAGTAGCACGTCGATGCTGCCGTCGGAGAGGATGTCCGTGTCCTGGTACGAAATGGAGAAGGTCGCGTCGTCCTGCAGCCTGGCCAGCATCGCTGCAAGACTCGACCGGTCCAAGTCGTCGGATTCCTTGAGCTGGAGGGTGACATTGCCGTCGGCGGCTGTGCTGTACATGAAGACCGCATGACCTCCCGAGTACGGCTGGAGGGGCAAGCGGACGCCGGCCAATTCGTGGACACCCTGGAAAAGAAAGGCCGTTAGTGCGTTGACGAAGCTAATAAACGGGCGAAGCGGAAAAGTTTAAAGTGTCTGCGAAGCTGGCGGCTCGTAAATATCCAGTGCCCATTAAGTCAATCTCGGCAGTATTAAAAGTCTCCGGAGGGGCGGCACATACGCGAAATAGAGGAAAGATAATTGGGATAATTGTGTAGCCTTTTACAAGACTTTCGCACAACGTTTGTAAAATCTCTTAGAGGGGAATAATTTTCAAGATAAACTTGTATTTTATGCGAGTTAATTATATCCGGAGTGCTCCGGCGTAATCCGGGCGAACATGCTCGCGATTAGTCGACAGACAACGCAAACCGGAAACTCCGACTGGTCGTAATTGAATTTTTCGGCCTCTCGGCGCGGGGCGGGAATTTTTCGAGTCCGAACCAGCCATAAATTTCAATTAAAACGAAGGTAATAAGGCAATGCATAAAATACGGCAATGAAAGCCACGGTTAATAAAGCTGCAGCACTGACCCCAGGCAAGAACATTTCAATATTCCAGTTCAATTAAACACAAACATACGAGCTCTAATCTAATTTTAACCCAGCGAAATGCCACGGCTATAAAACACGGTTCACTACGACGCACAAGCAATACGACCACCAACTCGGCCATTACGTGACTAAAACTCCCCTGATTATTGTTTTTGTTAATTGTGAAAAGCAATTTCGCCGCCGGTCCACCCCCGGGATAAGAAAAACACCCCGCAACGCACTCGCCAGACCAAACTTGGGGATTCTGGACTCTCTCTTGCGGAAGACCCGAATTGTACTCGCGCTGGGTTATTTATGTCTTTGATCTTCACCGGGAAGATGGCCGAAACACTAAATAACCACAAAGTCGGCCGTTCCGAGCCGGCGGCCGCGGAAACCGAGGAACCGCCCTGCCGAAAGAACGCCCATGGAAGTCTTCGCACCAGAACTTCCTCCCGAGATTTCCGCGAATCCTGACCCATAAACCGCCCAATCGGACGCCGAAGAACAGAAACAACCACCACAGGCACAAAAACTGACACAGAGACGAAAGAAACGGAGGCACCGGGGGGCGCCTGTAATAACGGGGCATCACGGGAAACGTCACACCGGTCTCAGTGGACACCGGGTGTAAATCTGGGGTCGAGAACGCAAAGAACCACCCCATGCACAAAAATCTACCCAGAGGCGGCAAAACCGGAGGCACTTGGGGGCGCCTGTAATAACAAAACCCCAACGGAGACGTTACTACCGGTTTTGAGTAGTAGTCGTCGTTATTTGGGATATTTTTTCGCGCACTTTGAAAATTTTGGCGGACTCAGCGTACTCAAACTTTGACGTCTTGCCTGTCGGTCTTGCAGTGTCCGCCCGGCGACTTTAATTTTGCAAAAAAGCGTCTCCCCAGTTAATTACTGTCGAAGTTGAATGCGGTACTTTTTTAATTTGAGCACAATCGGCGATCGAGCGGAGCGCGAGTTCGAAAGCGTAACGGGAGCATAATGGGGTGAAAGAAGCGAAACAAGTAGGTCTGGCCCTGGTCTGTTTTATTAATTAATGTACACTGGCTCCCGTTTAGCCTTATCAGGCTCTTAAATGCAGTGAAATAGCAGATTCAGGACGGTGGGTACATTCATTATAATGGAAATTACGACAGAAGAGGAATAAAGTCCGAACATAATGCCGCAAAACTAGCGGCAATAAGGACCCCAGACACGACCATTCCCCGCTCGGATTTTATGCAAACTGCACATCTTTTATTAAAGAACATCTGTACCAGCGAAATATAAAATGCAGAGATATTCAGGTATTCCGTACGCGACCATTTCCATATTTCACGATAATTACTGTCCCGCTCGGCACGATCCGAAGGAATAAAAGATCAGACGGCCGCCGCGGCGACGTCCGCGTCACCACCCTTTCGCTATTTTTCAATTTCGGGCATCTGCACAGCCCGCGGCGAGCCGGCCACGTCGGCCCGTCCTAACTGCGTTGTTTATGAAAATAAAACGGCATTTGTCGCACGAAGGCGCTCGTGAAAGTCGTGTAAGCGCTGCAGCGTGGTGTGAATCATCCCCGAGGAGGCATAAAAACGAAAATATGGGATAATAAACACGGCGGCCGTAGCACTTTTATCTGGGCGTTTCTTCGCCGTCCGCGGAGAGTAATGACGATATCGCCGGGGGCAGTCTAATCAAATCGGTCGAGAGCCGATGCGCGAAATAGAGGGCAGCCCTCATGCGACATATTTATCCTGCTTTCGGGGAGCCCCGGCTCGTGCCACATAAATCCGGACTGTATTTGATTTTGCATCGTAATGGATATTGATGCCGGCCGTGGATCTCGCCTCGGACGATTACCATAGATCTAAATCTAGGGGCGCGAACGCGGCCCAGCTCGAATTTCGCCGGCTCAGCATGGTGAAAATGTTCAACCTTTAATGCGGGGTCGAGTGTTTCTGAGGTTCTAGTCGGTCTCTTATCCTCGCCAAGAATGAGCAAAGTTGTTGTTCTCGACTTAGACCACTATCGGGTCATTGCAGCAGCTTCTCTAGGCAATAGAATGCGGGAACATCGGTCTGAGTTCGTTCGGCAGCAGCTGTGCTCCTCGAGGGCCGGCCGCGTTCGATTTTTTCTTGGGGCGTCTCGTTCGGATGAGATTTCGCCCATCAAACGCTCATTAGCTAATTGAATTAGTCCTCTTCATATTTCGCGCACCGCCTTGGCGTATTTACACAAGAAACAAACATTTCATTTCCATTTCCGGGTATTAATTAAGCGAAGCTTTCACGTCTCATAAATACGCAAAAACAACAAACAACAGCCGTGCATCTTACAAGCCGACAACTAACGGCACTTTTGCTCGAATGTTTGAACAAGACATAATGGAATTAGCACAAGGCACAGTTTTAGTACAACTTTTGACGTCTCGTTTAAATATGAAACACGCCGTAATCGGAGAACGTGTCCTGTTTTTATTACGTCGCAACGTGAATAACAAGCGTCGAGATAGCGCAGAATATAATAACGCCCCGGATTCGAAGAGACATCCAAATTACGCCGTAATTAACACGTTCAGGACGAAACACGTCGGCCTGTTTTTAATAACACGATCTCGGAGACGGGTCGGACTTATTTTTGTTTGTAGGAACGAATGTAAAATTGCTTTGACTTTAATTGACGGAGGCGGATATGTGCTGAGTCAGCTAAACGCGCCGCCTCGGGTCAATTTTTCGTTCTTGTGTCGGGAATTTTGTCGTACAAGACGAAACAAAGATGTTCGGTCGCGTTTCGGCCGAGGGAGACGAGAATTGCCCCTCGCTGATGTGACAAGACAAATGGACAAAGGGGGAGATGAAAACCTTCAAAATGAAAATGAATTGTTTGTATTGTTGCCGATTTTGCGGATACGGTTGTTCGTCAAGTCGCAAAGCCGAAGGCGACCCGGAGGCTGGTCGTGTAATGGCCACCTTTCAAAAAAATGAATTCGTTACTTTCGACGCGGCGAAGCGGAAATTTGGAAATAAGGGAGGATTGCGTCCATTGTTTTCGTTCGTTCGGATGCGAGCCGAGCCGTTCGCGATTGTTGCTTTTGTGCGAGTTCCGCGTCCGTCAAAATAGAATTCGAATGGAGAATGAAGGCGCGGATGGCGAATGAATGAGTTAAATAATCGCGAAATTGGCAGGAGTCGGGAAAAAGCCGGATTCCTTGGGACAGGTGCAAAAATTCTGAGCAAATTTAGCCGCAGACAAATGTAACAACACCGTATTATGCGTCGTAATACGCAACACTGGCGCGCTTCCAGAGTACTTTCACACACATTTAGTTTTAAAAACAATGGCGGCCGATTTTTCAGAGCTTCGTTTCGAGTATTTCGGTATTTTCAGCGCCCGGACGCTGCCTTTTCTGGACTTGGCCGAACTTTCCCATGAATTATTCATCCCGGGAGTCGGGTTGATTTTTTCGGGAGATTTCCCGGCCCGCGGACCTGCGACAAAAACCGCCCCTTGCCCTCGTGACGCTTTAATTACGAAAGACACGAGCCCGGAAATTTGCATAAGACCTTAGGAGACGGCTGAGGCAATATTCGACCCCATGTGGGTCGGAATTAATCTTTGTAATGTTTGCTTTGTCTATGAGCGCAGGTAATAAACCGGGCGCCATCAACGAATCTATTACGGTTAACTTAACCGACAGGCAACCGCCATAAAAAGCCGCCATCTTGCCCGATTCGCGCTCGATTTCGCCAATAACGGCAAAAACGGGGCCGAAAGCGCGCCGCAATCATCCGTCATTTGCCGGCACAAAGGGGAAGCGCAGATTTAAACGGATCCTGAAAAATTATGCCGACATGTCAGCGGCCGTAATTAAAAGCCCTTGTACTACACAGCGACGACCGTAACAGCTGATAGCCGTTAAGGCCGAAACGAAAAAACTAGAGCGAGCTGCCAGCTGTGCGCTGTTTGCATATTAATTATGCGCTGCGCGCACGACGGACAAATGTCATTAAAATTATTCCCGGACCGAAAAACAAACAGCGGCCCACGCGACGCAGCCTCCGCCCGATTCCACCGCCAACCACCAACGGAGTAATGCGGCCGCTTACTTGTCTAGTGTGATTCAATACCCTTAACCATATTAAAAAACAGACTTCCCCGACTCGACCGACGCGGAGCTCTCGCGCTAGACTCGCCTCCTTCGCTCTCACCTGGTTGTTTCGGCGCGAGCGTCGGTCGTTCGTCGGTCGCGTAATAATAAACGATAGTAATATGTGTAACTTTTTAACTCAGATTATTATGCCTAGTTTTCTTAGTCACTTTTCTATTTTCCACTTACGTCTAGCTCACATTTTTTAAGAAATCATACAAAACAGGGTAGTTTTCCTTATTTTTGGCATAAAAATCTGGCTCACATTTTTAAAAAGACCATAAAAAATTGATGTTTCAATAGATAAAGTGGGCTTAAAGGTCGTTTTCTTATTTTTTGTGTTTTTGAAA